GGGATAGGTCTCTACAAAATGCCTCAAGAGAGATTTGAGCGGCCGTGTTTTTTTCGGGCAAGGAAATAGTGTCTAGAAAAGGAGGTGGCTAGAGAAAAATAGACAACTTGATATGTTTGGCATTTTCTATAGAATGCCGACTAACTAGTGATTCCAAAATCAAAAGTATAGTATAATTCAAATATAGCCGTCAGAATAAACTCTTTCCACACAATGAGGTGGCCGGCATCTCTATGTACAACAACCATTTTGTTGCCAATTTGTATATATCATGCCTTCGTGACATGGAAACCAAATAGCAACGTATCCCAAGTCTCCTCTACCGACCTTGTGAAATGTTTGGATAGGCATACAGCCCAACAAGCACGGGGGATCTAAGGACGTGGTATCCATTTTATAGATACGTGTTGTGTTTTTTTGATTGCAGATACCTTGGACCTGGAATCTCATTTCATAGAGACTATTTGTGTAGCAGCGATGGCAATCAGCTGAACCTGGCTGCTGCATTTTATAGACAGATTGGTGAAATCTTCTTGATGAGTTTTGGTAGATTCTTGAAGCCTGGTTTACATTTTATATATGTGCCAGGCGCTGCATTTTATAGAGGTCGGTAGGTGGACACCCCATTCTATAGAGCATATTTCTCTATAAGATGCCGGGAAAGCCCCCCCAACCCACTACCCACGGGGGATATTCAACGGAATCCCTGTGATTACAAGGGGTACACACACAGAGCTGATATTGTTGTTACTCCTAGAAACTGAGGGAAAATGGGCTGGTCACCTCTCTCATCCCATGCGGGTGGGGACTGTTCAGGAGCCCCCCTGGTAGCATGTAGCAATGCTCATCTGGACTTGCGGCATGCGTGCCATTGGTTCAGCAAAAAGTGTACACTGGTACCATCACTTCACAACATTTGTTTTAATGTTTTGGTGAAATGAGCATCATTATCCCGACTTCCCCTGAGTTTGTAATTATCTATCTTTGAGGAGTTTAGTTTGTCACTATTTCGGTTTCTAAACGGACTTCCAGGAGTGAAACCGACAACGTGTTGGGCTCCTTTTTTGAAGGGCCCCATTTTCAAGTGCCTTACACCGGCAGGCGCTGGCCCAGCAGGCCCAGTCCTTGCAGGCTGGGTACTCGGAGCGTGGAACTAATCACTTGGTTTACCATCCTTGTTTCATCAGGTGACCCTGTCACCGCGGGTTTTCTGAGGTCATCTGAGGTCAACATCCAACTCTTTTGTGGCACTGAGAGATTTCAGCATCCGTTCAGGAGAAGGGAGAGGGGCTGGTCGCGCAGCAGACCATGCTCAAAGCGCATCTGCGCATGAAGCAGGTCCAGACCGATCCCCCTGGCCATCAAGTGGACTGGCGGAGCTGGTGGAACGGCCAGCGGCCGATGGAGGGATTGACCAAACTTGGTCATTTTCGGCATATTTTGCACATGCTAGTGATGTTGAAGTCCTTCTAGAGTAGTTTGCGTGCAATGGGGCGGAGGTGTGCCCCAAACTATAGAGCCTGCAAAGAAGAAAACCGTCGAACGTTAGAGAGGATTATAGAGGATTACATCCGTGCCGTGCCAGTTAGAAGAGCAGCAACATTTACCTAACATAGGCTGGCATATAGGGCACAACAGGTGCAGGAAGACAACAGTTGTTTGGGAAGGTAGAGGGTATATGGCCCCGTCGTCCACCACGCGGTCCGCTGGTCCGGTCCGATGTTCTTTCCGACTTTGTGGCCCAAAGAGCCCAGCGGCGGTCGGCCCAAGACTTGGCTGCGCCGTGTCTTCCTGTTTGACAAGTTCCTTGGCTTCTTTCGACCCCCAGGAGCGAAAAGAAACTGCTTTGTTGAACAAGCTGAAAAGACCATAGATGGAAAGCACTCTGCTTTCTTTGCTTCAGTTGATCGTCTTCCAGCGACCGGTCTTGCCAAAACGGCTTTCTGGTGTCTGTGTGGGACTGGGTCAGTTTCAGCTCCCCGAAAAACTGTTTCAGCTCGACCGACATGGGAGGGGTTACAACCCTTCCTTGCACCGGTCTGAGCCGATCTGTGGGTGGGGAGAACGGACCGAAAACGGACGTTCAGCGGACATTGTTGCAAGGTTCCAGATCAGATACATCA